TAATTCAGTAGTGATGTTTTTGAATCCCCAATAAGCCTATGACTGTTTTTAGAACAAAGCCACACGTGCACACACACACACACACACACGTGCACACACACACACACACACACACACACACACACACACACACACACACACACACACACACAGAATTCAATACATAGTGACAGTTCGTTATTGCTCATGACTCCTGCACTTGCATGCACACTATGCAATAATATCCTACTTTCACATTTTGTTAGCTGTCATTTGGCCCCTCACAGTGTTTATTTGACAGATAGTCCACAGATTTGTATCTTCTGACGGTCCACTTTTATATATTTTAACCTTTTTATTTTCTATTTTGAGATGTTATACATTTTGTGTTTGCTTATCTTCTACTCACAGTATGTGCAATGCCTTGTCTTAACATGCAGCTGTGACGAAAATCCTAATTTGGGATCGATAAAATATATCTTATCTTAATATATAAACGTAAAAGACAATTGCTCTGACCGTCTGTCTATCGTTGCGTTCAGGGCGAGTGGGGCTGGTGTGCGGACGTCTTCCCCGTCGTTCCTCACTCGCCCCCCGCCGGCGCCCACTGCGCATCGGCATCTGAAAAACCCCAAAAGGTCCAGCAAAGGAGGAAGAAATGGACGAAAAGGGAATAATGTCAGATTCAGAATCAGAATCAAGGTACACATACAAGGAATTTGCTTTGGTGTATTATTGTGCAAACACAACATAAACTAATACATTTTAAGAGAAGGTTAAAATGATATGTTAACCTTCTCTTACAACTTATTAGGTTATGTGGTTTGAATAACATCAAAAATATGTTTTAAAAGAAAATATACTATATAAAAAATAATATAGACAAGTATTTACACCAAATTTAAATATATAAAAAAAGGGAAAAAAACTGAGTACAATGAATATATGACAATACAGTATATGAAAAACTGCAGTGTGTTATATTTCAAAGTGAAGGGCTGTGCAGAAATTTGCAAAAATATATTCAGAGAGATGAACAATGTTGAGTAACAATAATTAGGGTTAGGGTTATAGATAGAATGAAACAATGGGAAGTGTTGATTGTAGTGGAAATAGAGTTGATACAAGCCAAAGAAAGTCGAGTTTGTTCAATTCAAGGTGGAATGTAGAAAGGGTAAACAGGCAACAACAAGAGAAGAATAAAAATGTGAGGGAGGTGGAAAGAAGAACAGGCCATAATAGAGAGAAGGCCACGGAGGCGACGGGAGAAATTGTAAGCAGAGGAAATATAAACGTGGAATCATACAACCAAATCAATAATTTACATCTTAGTCATCCCTTGAAAATACGATTACATGTTGAACTAATTCTAATGTAGCCTCACTCCCAAATGTAGAGCATTCGGCAGGTACACAATCCCTGCCCTCATTGTGAAAAATATAGGTTCATACCGATTCTTTGTGTGTCCGTGTTTTCATTATGTCTTCTTTAAAACATCCATTTTACAACACAAGCCATTGCAGGGGCTGAACTGCTTCCTGTTGCTTACTGACTGGGCTGTGTGTGTTACAGCTAGCAAGACCTGCAAACAAGCATAAACAAAGAAGGCATTATTTGTGAATGCAAACCCTGCAGAGAATGAAAGGTTCTGCATAGGTAAAGATACACAATATGTTTGCTTTCAGCAGCAAGTGTGGAGTACAATAATGTGTGACATTATGAACAAATCTGTGTTATAAAACTGCAAATGCACTGTTGCAACATTTAAATACCCAGGATGCTTCACACTGTATTGGCATGACTAGTTTTCACTCACGTTCCTCTTTGCTTTCTCTCTTCACCATAGCAGCAAAGGCACAATAGGTTAAAACACTCACACTAATGCACTGGTCTGGTTATTGTATAATTCGGTGCAATAACACCGAAACAGATAATAAGAGCAGAGCAGAAACGTTCAGATTGGTTGACTGCATTTTGGATAGCGGCCTGCAGAAGACTCCAGCAAACATATTGAGAATATGGGACCACACCCCCCTCCTTCCACCTTCACCACAACAGCCAAAACCCACATCCACTTGTGGTTAACCCACATGGCCTGGTTATGGTCGGCAGAATCAGATTTATATTTATCCATCCAGCCACCCATTAAGGGAAATGAACAATGCCAGGATCCTCTATCCATTTGGGTGTGCCTGTCAACATAGGTAGACTTTGCAAGGGCTCGTTTAATCCATTCATTCATGTACCACTATGACGAAATAAAAATGGCTCATGTATTTTGAATGAGGATATAAATAGTCCACGCCACTGGATGTAAAAAGAAAGATATATTTGGCTGAACAGTAAGCTGTACATTCCAGTAAATATCGTAGCCATCACTGATTTGTGTGTTTGATTCCTGTAAACCCTGCTCCACTACACATGGCTATGCATTAATTATTAGTGCATGCTGCAGTGACTGATCCAATCAGATCTTAATAACTGTCACTGTTCACACTCCATATACATCATAGGATAACACATGTGTTTTATAGGCAATGCAGTGTATGTACAGTCAGGCTAATTACCATACATATGACTAAGTTTATCACAGTGACAGGAAGCAGTCGGTGCACAGTGACTGTATACATAATGCATCTCAGTTACAGGTGGCAGACACTGTCCACTGCCTGGTCCTTAGCCATGGTCAGTAAACAACACATCCCTAACACACACCATGTCCCCTTTGCATGCACACAGCACATGCATTCATCAACACATTGACCACTGCATGTGATGCAAAACAGCAGCGTGCAGTTTGCTCTGCTTACATCACCAGCACTGCAACGACTCTTTCTTCCTTTCTCTCCTGCGAATGTTATTGATACACATGCAGCAGAGGAGACCGGCCCTGAGACTAAAACCCGGCGGAGCACAGTGCCCCTCCGCCGGGGAGAGGGTCGTGTTCAGTAGCACATACATGTTCACAGAATGGATGCCTGTGCACCACACGCTGCACATCTTAAAAAAGGGAAACATGATAGGGAATGGCGAATCATGGCATTTTTTTTTTTTAAACACCGGCTCTCCCTTCTTCTCCCTTTTCCTCGCAGGAATGTGGCCGCGCGTCGTGCACTCTATTACCATTAATTCACCGGGACATCATTTAGCCAGGACAGGAGTATGATGATAATTAACGCACAAAGGAAAAAAAGAATGGGGAGGGAAAGGACAAACGTGGCCAACAGGAATAGCTCCAAATATCCAGTATAAGCATCCATTTTTCCCCCTTTTTTTGTTGTACTTACCTATAATATCCAGCGATGCGTGCTCTCACTCTCACTCTCCCTTTCCTTTCTCCCCCTCTGTTTTGTCGTTTTATGTTGCACGCTGACACGCACAGTCTGTCAACACAGGCTTCATATTGCAACGCGCTCCGATAATAACAATAATGCAGAAGAAATCTCTTTCTATTCGTTGCAGGAAGAAGAAAAAAACCAGGGGTGCCAACTGAAGACTACAAATTGATGCGTATACCCTCGCCTCTTCCCCACCCCCTTTCTCCCCCTTTTTCTTTTTGTGCCCCCCCTTTCTCCCACCCTACCTACTCCCCCTTCTTCCTCTAAGACGACTTGCACTTTTTTTTATATATATATCCCCTCTCCGGTCTTACAGTCACAATTTTTTAGGGATAGAGAGAGGGATGCACGTCGGGTGAGAGAAAGGGAGAGAGAAGAGGGCGTGATTTGCATGAGGAGAGAGGGGGAGGAGGAAGAGAGGCGCAGAGAGAGGGCCAAAAACTCTGAAGAGGGAGGGGATCAAGAGGGAGGGTCTCTCTCTGTTGCCTAGTCCCTCCAGAGTCACCTTTACTGTAAGAGCTCGGCTGTATCTCAACATGAACCCTGAAGAGGAGGACGAGTCTGTCCAGCAGCTCTTTGTTCCTGCAGGACTCACGTAATCCAATGCAAAACCAGCTGTAAATGTTGATTTAACAGAAAATACATGTGTGCATTTGACAGATAATGCCGGGGGTTTTAACAAAGAGAGCTCGTCAGGAATAATTGCAACCATAAGGAATAACCATATAAAGGTGTATGTTTTCTGTCTGTCTGTGTTTCTGTCTGTCTGTCTGGAGGAAGCTTGCAGCGGTGTGTCCAGTCAAGCGGCTCTGCAGACCTCCCCCCTCCTCCTCTTCCTCACCCCCCTCCTCCTCTTCTTCCTCAGTCACCCCCCTCCTCTTCTTCACTCCCTCCTCTTCCTCACCCCCTCCCTCCGCTCCGCTGCTGTCGCCCTCTCTCTCTTTCTCTCTCTCTCACACTCTCTCTCTCTCTCTCTCTCTCCCCCCCTTCACGCAGCCCCCTGTCCCGTCTCCTATTGTGTGGTGACCATGGAAACCGGGATCGGAGACTGTACGCGGTGCGCATGCGCGGCTGCAGCCGTCCTTCATCATCAGCAGCAGCAGCCCGGCACGACAAGCAGGAGAAATACAAAAAAGGGGGGAAGAGGGGGGGAGAGACAGAGAGAGACAGAGAGGCCTCGTGGAGCTCCCTCTGCTGCTCGGTGAGAGAAACAAACCTCAGACTGGAGGAAATAACAATTAAGCGCGTGCTGCAGCTGGTAATTGATAATTGCTGCCGCGTGCCGACACAATGGAGCCACAGCAACTGAAGTGTTGTTATCAGGAGGGAGCTCGAGGTGCCATATGTGAAGGAAGTGAAAAATGATTAGATATATACCAACTAAAATTATCTATCTACCTGTATCATGTTTTATCCCTATATTGTATTTTATTAGATATTATTTAATTACTGTAAAGTCTTCACATCAGTCTATATTTGTTACATTAAAGCACCTCTTTATTATCTTTGTACACTGTATATTCTTTATACAATAAACCTTTGCACAGGCAAGAAGGCTATGTGCAAAAATACAGTATACTAATCTTGAGCCGTAAATCATGCAGGAAAAACTGCAGAAGATTCCTTGTAGTTGTTGGATTCCTTTAAGATTCTGTCATAACCTCTCAGGTTTTCACTCAGATGTTTGCAGCAGGAATGACCTTCACCTTTTTCTGCAAGATTCCTGTACTTCTTTTTTGTAAGTGATGTCCAACACCTGCTGTGACATCAATATTTAATGTGGGCAGAAATGGAACATGCATTGAATGTTTCTACTAGAGAGAAGTGCATGTGGTTTTCTTGCTTTAACCCATATTTAATTCAGTGATTATTCATCTTTTAAATAGGCCTCATTATGCTTATTTTTTTTTCCCCTCTCCTGTAGTGTTATAAAGGTTTTTGTGCATGTAAATGGTCTCCAAATGCTAAAATCCCAACGTTCCCTCAGAGGGAGTTTGCCTCACACTCCAACCCCCCAACCCCTGCCCCCCCC